AAGGTCGTTATTACAGACAGCAGAGAGAGATGACTGGAAATAATGGAACCAGCTGGACACATATTGGGGATGTTGGGGTTCATGGTCAGCATCTTAAGCCCTCAGCCCTGGGTCAACACATTCTCTAGTTTTAAAAACTAACACTTGTTGACATCCATCAACCGTGTCTTCCTCCCTGTAACTTAACGCTCTGCTATACTGTAGGAAAGTTACATCACTAAGTGCTGTCATTTTACTGGAGAGGGCAGCCTTACACAAAAGGTACGGTCATGGGGCTACAAGGTTTCTTCCTCCTGGAGGATGGACGAGCACAATAAGTATCATGCCTGCGAATGTTTTCAAGAAGCTGGTTATAAACCAACAAGAAAATAAACAAATAGATGGACAGACCTACAGTCCTTGGTGAAGGTAATTACCGTCTCTAAATTAGTGATAATCCAAACCTTCTGACACAACTTGAGAAATATTAAGCAGCATGAGGAATGTCTATAATATTGAGCCTGAGGTCACACATGACTCTTAGTAGAGTGCGGCCCATGCTGAGGCCCACAGGAGAAAGTAATGCAAAGACGTCTCACCCTTGTTGGTGGTAGGGGCGCTGGGTGTGGTGGAAACAAGTGTGGGTGCTTCTCGCCACGCTCGCTCCAGGCTGTTGTGCTGCTTGGCTAGCTGCTCAATGGTCTCCTCTAGGTGGGTGCGCTGCTCTCGCTCATACTGCAGAGCCCGCTGCCATCTCCTGCTGTGAGTCTCTGCTAGGTCCAGAAAGTCTCGACACGCCTGGGGGAGCACATGCACACAAGAAGAGGAACACACAAAAGTTGAATTCCTATAAAATAGTCTGAAAAAATAAAAATAAAAAATGGATTACCTTCCTGAAATAAAATCTGTTCAGATTTTTTAATTGAGGTGCAAGTTTCTACTTGCAACAAAAACAGCTCAGATGTTTGCATTTAACGCAGATTTTCATAAAACCATTAAAATCATAAAACCTAGGAACGTTTTCACCTTTATTTAAGTCAACAGATAATACTATACTGAGAAAAAAAATCCTCAGGATCATATTTCCTGACAGTTTACAGCCATATGAGAGAGAGAACATTGGGATGAAAAGGTGTTAAGACATTCGGGCCAATTATTGTAATCAAGGTTATTTATCACTATTGTTTCGAGCAATCATCAATGTGATAATTAGCCGTCTACTGGGCCTCCCTGCTGTGTAAATGTGCCTCAGAGCATCATGAGCTTGAGGTTAAACCTCTGATTGGGTAGCAGACTATATTGAGTCCATGGGGGGCATCATTGTGACTGCCGAGCTTTTACTGCTGAGAGTTTACTTCTGATCAAACATATATAACGTGTCAGCATTTGTCCGACAGCCGTGTCTCTTAGTGTGCTCAAAGGTCAATGAACACCTCCAGCATTCTGTCAGGAAACAATTACTTTCTGACCTCGTCCCTTTCGGTTTGATTTAACAGAACTATTCAGGAGACAGGGACCCTCAAAGTTGACGCACTTTGGACAACAAATGCTCTTAAAAATACAGATATCTCTTTCAAAAATAAATCTATCCGTATGTTTTTTTGATCGGAAAGCTAACAAACAAGGTCCTAAAATGACAGACTAGCTCCAGGTGCCAGATATCTTATTGTCACATCACATGATCCTTTGCAGTGAGCAGTTACAAAGAAGTACCAGCCTGCTTTCACATCAAAGTCTTCCAAGTGGAGGTTGTGGAAAGCTTTGCAGTTGTTGTTCTGTGCTGCACAACCAGCTGAGAAGATGGTTCTCCTACCTTTCTTTCAAGGACCGTACGACATGCCTTTGACAGAGATAAAGCCGTGTCAGGCATTCTGAAATTGCAGCATATAAAAAAATGCTGAGAATTTCCCCCAACTGTCCCTCACATAACAGAGAAAAATGATGAGATGTGTTTCATCCTGGATGACAAAGCTAATTCCCTGGAAAATCTCCAACGACCAAGACTTCAGTGATGAAGTCCCGCTCATTTGGGCAATGTGCACACATCAGTGGAGCCATACACAGCACGAGGAGGAATAAACTGTCCAAATGAGATAAGCGATGCATCGCCAGCCCTTGACCAGTGGCTTCAAAGGAAAAAGGAAAGATCTCTACACCTTCACATGACTCTGCATTACACGTTTGCCGACTTGTGCTTCCTTATTATGTCATTTTAAGGGCCATATTTATGCATATTTATTTATGTTGGACCAAAGGTATTGACATTGTAGATAACAATCAAATAGAAAGGGGTGAGGTCAGAAATTGATTGATTTCTGACAGACAATATGCATGATGAAAATGTCATGTGACAGTCACTGAGCTGTCAGCATAGTGGGCCTCAGAGGAGGGTTTCTGAATAATCACTTGGAAACTTGCCTTTTTGCAGTCGAGCATTTGGGAGCATTTTTTGGGAGGCTAGCCATTGTTGCCATTGCTTCCACATGAGCAGAAGAGCCCATAATTAAATATGGTCCTTTCAGTATTTGCAGCAAAGAGTTAGCTTGAACCACTTAGATAAGTTGTGAGCTGGAACCGGAGGGATGTGCCACTCAAATAATCTCTGTTGTCTGGCTGGTGAGAGTGCAGTATCACTTTGAGGCAGCAGGAAGAGAAACAAGGATGCGGTAACACCTTACTCCTTCCTTGATTTGTTCCCAGACTGCAGGATACCCATCTCTCTGATGAAAAAGTATTTGGTATACCACATTGAGTTTACTTGTTGTCTTGAAAAACATCATCACTGACATTTCACTGACAACAGAGCATTAGAGAGAGGCGACACCAGGAACGGAAGCAATACAAACTGATAGCTAAAATAACAATTTGGGTATTACTTCTGGATTTTCTGGTCCAGAGTTAGTGGTATGTTTGATAAAGACACACGCCATATAATTAGTAAAAATGTATTTAACTTCATAACAAACTAAAATGAAATGTGTTCTCCAACAATACTGTATGAAAACAGAATGTGTTATATTACTCCAAAAGTAAAAAATACAAAACCATTGTTGACAAGGTTAGAAGAGTTCAGGCTGAACAAATGATTTATGCTCATCTTGTTGATGTTTTAAAAAAAAGTAACTAATGTGTAAAGATCAAGGGATTTTAATGGTTATAACATAATATTTTAAAATCATATGCATGGTACAATTGTAATATATGTTGATAGTACTAAAATATCCTTACCCTTTACAAAGGTTAAATTTCAGTGGCGTTAGATGTTTTAGAATATAATAATATCTTGTTTGCTCAAAACAATGCATGGAAATCACAGAATATGTGTCAGTAAAAACATCCGATCAAAATCTTACCTCCAGCAGTCTCGCATGAAGTGTCTAAACATCGATGTCTGAGACTCGAGTTTAAATGTTAGAAGTGCATGTGACATTGTGGTTCACTTCCTCAGACATTGATATGAAACTCAACACCCACTTAAAAAGTATGAGAGTTCCACTTTTTTATGCTGAGTCTCAAGTACAAACGCAGACTGCATGTGACTTCCATTGGGGGGGAAATAAAGGCTGACAAAAAAGGAAACGGGCATGCAGAAATCAAACTAAAAAGTCCGGAATGAGTGACGTAGCAAAGACTACAAAGAACTTGAGTAACGTTTCATGTGATTAAACCATACCAACAGTAGTGCGTAGGCATGTGAAAGCATGCACACACAAACAGGCGAGAGTCAGGATTCAGTGACACACGTGACCAGTTACATCATCACTCAATGAACTAATGCAACCCTCTCCAAAGGCCAGGGTCAGATCACAGAGCACATGCAGTTGTGTCTTGCCGTTATGGTCTCCTTCTTCCCTCGACCCCTCCTCCTTACATGCATAGCCTGTTTCCTTTGGAAAGCACATGGAAAGCACAGTAACATCCAAGTAAATGCCTTCACAATGGCTGAAAAACGTAGCTGCATAAATCCAAATACCCATATCCTGCGCTGCCTTCTGCTTAAAGAGAGCCATTTACAAGCCCCAAATCACTACGGGGAGTTTGTGGCAGCACTTCTTTCTCATTAGAAGCACATTCTTGGCTGACCTAAGGACATTTTAATGTGTTAGGCAGTCCAAGAGGATCTATTTTATCGCTTGTCCGGTAACTTTCAATTTCCCAAACCAATGAATAAGTAAAATGGATGACAGAGAGAGAAACAAGGGGCTCATCATTTTGAGCCTTCACATAATTTAAGTTTTTTTTCTTGTCACAACACTATGGCTCAAGTCCCTCAATAGGCGGCATTAGCACATACTTAAGCATATAAGGAATAGTAATGTCCTACGGCCTGATTCCAAACCTAATCTTAAAGTATAAATACTTGCTGTTTAACCACGACTAAATCTGACTGAATTATTCGACACCTAACAGCCAGACATTTCACAGAGAAAGAATAAACTAGAGTAAACAATGAATAAACAATGCTATCAACAAAGCCATTGAGAGAAGCAGGAAGAAGAGACAAACCTTGTGTGATTGTATGGTTTAGTCAGAGCAGGTCTGTCTGTCTCACTGTGGTCCAGAAGGTTCTGACATTCCTCCCCAGGCAGGGAGGGTCAAGGGTTTGAGAGGGGGGGGAGGAGGGGTTATTCCTGTCTCCCCCCCTACCCACTATCATATCTAGTATCAATCCTTCAGCACCTCAACTCTCATACACTACTAGCACACTGTAAAGCCAAAGGCATTTACTGTTGAGGGGAATGAACCCGGGCCAGATACAGTAGAGCGTATACTGCTTATCACATCCAACACAGAGTGAAAACTGAAAATGTGGTTGTGGTTGTTGTGCTGATTTAAATATATTAGCTGATATAGCTAAACTGCAATACGTTATTTTGAAAGAGTCATTTTTTCGTTGCTCTCCTTTCTTTCTTAAAGTTTTTTGAGGGGGAGCGTTTACTTCAAAATCACATCCAAAATATAAGGATGGAGTTTCCCGTAGGTTGTACAGATTGTAAAACCCTTTGTAGAAAGTATATTTGTGATTTTTGACGATACATATAACATTAAATACAGCAGAGATTCTTAACCATAAATTGAAACGTTATTAAGCTGTGAGCTAAGTTAAAGCTACTTAGACATAACTATTTCTAACAGGATCTGGCAGGGTCTGGACCTGCATCTCTGGGCCTGCAGCCCACAGGCCCCACTGTAAGGTGATCTCATCACTCAACGCACTGACCAGGGCACTATATAGATGATTGGCATTCCTGTCATATTGATCATGCAGGACGCAGGGCACTCAGCTCACTGCATCTTGTAGCCTGGTCTGCTGGAGCTACTTACATTGATCATAGCATTGGAAGTGATGCGGAAGAGGGTGGCTCGCTCGTTGACTGCCTTGATCTTCTCCCCTCCCTCCACAGGGACTTTCAGACCCTCGAGTTCGCTCAGGGAACGCTGCAGGGCCGCCCCGTGCTTCGCGATCAGATCATTACATGTGCTGAGGTCGTCGAGCTTGCTGACGAGTATCTTCAGGGTGCCCTGAATCTCGCTGCGGTCCGACTGGGATGTAGGCTCCTCGTCCCCCGAGTCATCTGGAGGGTAGAGGAAAGAGGTCACGTACACCATCTTGAACAAGAGACGATTATTAGGACTTGTGAGTACACCGGTCATGAAAAAGAAGATAAACAAAGACAATTTAGAAACGTTTTTCTCAGGTCATTTTAGTAAACATATCTAACTGCATAGCTGCTAAATTGAAAATACGTACAGTACACTCTGTCCTTCTTATGATAGATTTCCCATTTAAGGTGACTCCCCGAGCTACCGTGGCAAACTCCTCCATTTCTCCGTGGTAAACTGCTATAGGCAGACGTAGTATTGTTTTAAATGATAAAGATAAATTACATACGTTTAACAATGATTTGTACCACTGATGAAATTAGTGTTAATTAAACCGTTAGTCAGATTTGACAGATGGTTTTGTTTGACACACATAAGTACGCCCATTAGACATCAGCGCACTAAATATGAATAAATAATATGAATATTTAAATATAAATATCCCGAGTAGCTTATCCAACGTAAATGTAAGCTGTGTCAGGGCATTTGAATACAGACAGCTCGTCCATAACCGTGAGCCTTTGCGGTAGCAGCTGCCTTTCACTAGGATGTCACTAAAGAGAGGTTACTCAAGTTTAAACAGAACACACAACAGTGTTGCAGCGTCAGCCTTGCATTACACACACGTATGCACGCACAAGCAGATTCACAGAATGACAGATATATACAAGGGTGAGACAAAGGTCCATGAACAGCCTTGTGACAATGTAAAAGGAACAAATCCATGAAGAAAACACAACTCCTGATCTTCTGAACTAAAGTAGACGAGAAGTATTTGCACACCTGAGTATTAAATCTAACTTCACACAAAAGAATATGCCCAAATATAAAAGCATCTGCGTTTGTGTATTTGTGGTTCAATAAATCCCGCTCACAAAACAAGCCGATGCGGCTGTGAGGAATTAATAGAATCAGCTTCAATGTCAGCACATTTACTCTGGATACATTACTGCCTGCTGAGAAGCGATAACATCCCAACAATCCCACCAGAGGAGTGACGTATAAAACTACTGCTGGAACATGAAGAACAATAAGTAACATGAGGACAAGGACCATTCTGTGCATCTCAACAAGGACAACGTATTTAAAAGGTTCAAGAGCAGAGTGAGAGTCTCTCCGATCCATTAATCCACCCGGCTGACCCCAACATCTAGAAAATGCTGCTCTGCTGTCTTCTACACGCCACCATACAGAGTCTGCTGTGTCACATTGAAAAGGTCTGTTATATAGCAGATAGGAGAGACTGTCGCAGTCTTGGTGCGAAGCAGCAGTACAGCAACACTTTCTTCTAGCACCAAGGCAGCCGACTGTGACCTCGCAGTCGAAGAGACCATCACCCCTGTCAAGCCTTTAGTATAGCACGGATCTCCGCCTGGGGCATGCTGGTAGCCTGGCAGGCTCAGCACTACATCATGTAACAGCAATAGACCGAATTCAAATTTGACCAAGACCTTTTGGCCAGTGCAATGTTACGCTCTACTGAGAAATAAGCAGCACAGAGATATCTCCACACTGGAGTTATCGTTAAGAGGAGATGATGCTTGACACCTAGAAACAATGCTCTAATTATACTGCTTTCTAATGTATCTTTGTTAAATCAACGGCAGCACAATATTGTGAACAAGTTCCTCTAAATGAGTAACATTTGTGAGTCGAAAAAGAAAGAAGAGTGAGAGAAGGAAGACATTAGGTGAGGTTGAGCAAAGGGGACAAAGAGAAGCAAAGAAAACAATCCCTCACCATGTTTGCATTCCCGGGTATACATTTTCACCCAAAAGGCAACCGAAGTTCAGCCAGGAAGAAGCAGCACACAAACTGAGCTAAAACGTCAGAGACAACATGTGAACATCTTGAAAAGGCTTTCAGAGAGACACAACCGTCTGGCTGTTAGAAGGGACAAGACAAAAACATATCAGCCCAGCCAAAGGTCAACCTAGCAACCTTACAGCAACAACAAACCCAAAAGCGAACATGGATCAGAAATCCATCCACACGTTACCGGCAAGCAATAGAGTCGGAATCAAGTTGAATCACACAGAATTGCAATAAAGTCCCTGCAGAGAAAGGCAGGAGAAGAAGAGGCAAAAGCCGAGGTGTGTCCAGCTGCAGTGCACAGGAAAGCAAGAGACAGTGGAAGAGGCGAGTATGTTCAGAGAGTCGGACAGGGTAATGGAATAAGCCTTGAATTGATAAAGTGTGACTATGACAGAGCAGCTTTACACGGATAAGTTAGTTGGCCAGTTGATGTAGTTTTGAACTTCCTCCCACGAGGCAACAATAAGCCTCCACCAAATCAGATACATTCATGTGTACCCCCCCCCCCCCCGAGTTCAAAATGAGTCATTTTAAAAGAAAAGAAAAGAAAAGAGTTTTCATACAAAAATATTCAAAAATTATATTTTGACATATATTTGCCACGTGATAAGAGAACAACTGACACAAGGACACAGAACTAGAACTTGGAAAATGTCTTTTTAATTTCCTTGAAGTTAGATTTGTATAAGCATAACTCAAATTTCATATATGTATATGTACAGTATATAGTCGGAGTGAGATTACCATTTTTACACTTTAGAAAAATTCTGTTTTGAATGACTTTATATCCTGGATTAAAATTCTCTATTTCACCCGGATGACTGCTGTGAAAAACAAACAATAACCGCTTTCTTTAATTTGAAATGGGTACATGACAGGAAGTATTGATGCTATTGAACCGATAACCGTTAAGGAATTGACTGTGGAGGTCAGGAGTATAAAGTATGGCTTTATGCAGGATTGCTCGACTCCCGAACACTTAGTTCATTAACTTAACTGCTTAGAACGTCTCCTTTATTTCAGAGGCAGAGTCCCCACACTTCCAGTGTCCCCCCAAGGGACCTTATCTCGCACATAATACTGTAATAAGTGAGCTCCAATGTAATGATACATATTTCTTACCAGAATAAGGTCCCATGGTGGTCCACCAGAAGGGGAGGCACGTCCCCCTTTCTATTCATCCCTGTTTAAAATCAATGCTGAAAAGTTAAAGTATTTGGGAATGTGGATCACATATAATTATAAAGACCTCTACAAAGCCAACGTCCTGCCCTTGGTAGCCTGTGTGAAACAGGACATTAATCGTTGGGATTTGCTGCCCCTCCCTCTCGGAGGGAAAGGATCAAAGCCATGCTCTTATTATTCCCCCTCATTTTACCGATGAGTTCAGCAGCTTCAAGCAATGCCACTTAAAAATAAACTGTCACATGCACCGGCGCGTATTTGTTTAGAAGAGACTCTGCTTACAGCACTTCACCTGCAAATTGAATTTTCTTTCCTAATCCTCACTGAGACAAGTTGCGAGCTGCAAGAACACACATTTAGTATGTTGGCTCTACTGCTCAGACACCCTTCAACGGCAAAGAGAAACCAGTACACAAAGGTGACTTTAATCTAAATGAAGCCTCCACAAGTGTGTCAGAAATGTCCTTTCTGCAATTTACTTTTGCTTCACTGAGCCAGATCCACGTAGGATCGATAAAATGTCAACCACTTCCGGACAAGTTTGATTACTGGAGATGAAAACCCTTGAAGCTAAACATATTCTATCAAGTGTATATCACTCAGACCTGGAATAAAAAGTGATGACTGCATTTAACAATAAAGCTGTGTCAATAAATACTCTATGCTCTCTGTGCATCACCGTCACTCACTGCCTAGCTCGCCCCCTCACATTTCCATCCTCTTCCTTCCCAACAACAGATGTGGATGGATGGCTCTCCGTAGCGAAGTCGAGGCAAGGGCAGGAGCCCATTACCACGCCAGGCATGCCTCAAGGGCGGTCTACCTCCCCCCTTCCCCCTCAGAGAACACCCTGCATAGACACACGTGCACGCCTCTTCCCAGGGTGTCTCTACTGAACCCTCCTACTCAGAAGTTGATATAATTTAAGCAAATATCTGTGTCTGAAGCAAGCTGGGATGCCAGTTTACAGGTCACAGCTCATCAAATCACAACACTTCCAACACATAAACACACATGCATCTTCCATCCATCCTCAGCATGTGCATGCTGTCGCTTTTCCTCCCTTTGTTCCCTCTTTATCTATTGTGTCGAGCGTAAAAGGGCGAGGGAGGGAGAGAGAGCGAGAGACAGGAAGCAGGAGAATAAGATGTGGGAGAGCGTAATTGGGAGAGCAGTAGTCTCGCTGCCGTCCCACTGTCAGGCTCGTCTCTCTCTCTGCCCGTCCCCGAGGACCGGCTGTCAGATCGGTGGAGCCAGGCCTCCGGCTGACAAGATGTCACCCCGTGGCAGAAAGACGTGCACGTCGAGCAGCCGAGCACATGGCACAAATGCCATGCCTCTCTGGATTACAGATGGTATTTGAACATATAAGGACTTATCAGAGGGGAAACTGAAGTATTTTAGGAAAGAGCTCACTTTTATTACTGATGGTTATTGGAGTTCATTTTTACAGTTCAGAATCAACTTTATGTGGTGGACTGTAGAGAAAATGAACATGGCATCAGCAACAACATTTCTATGTCTTAAAATACTAGCAGAATTCTGATTCTCCCTAAAATCTTATTTCATTACTAAATCTCATGAATGCACACATGAGACCCTTGTTAGTGTGCATAGACTACGTTGTTTTAGGATGAATGGTGATTCAAACAGATCATTTTGACAATGCATACTGTATAAACTTATTCTAATACAACAGACCTGCAATAAATCATACTCTGTCCCCTAGGAATTACATTTATATGGTAATAATAATAATTGTATCTCCAGTTCTATTTTGGATCACAGCCAGGCAATGTTTTTTTAGGGAAATGCGGCATTTGAAAAATTGTAGTTTAAATGATAATGATGTATCAAACTAGGATCATGATCTTTCTATAACAAGTGCTGCGAGAGTCGAAACAAAACGATAAAATACAAGCACATCATGCATCGCAAGAGCGGATGTTGTAGGTAAACACGTGAAATGAATGATGTTTACATTTTAAATCAACAGTGTGTGACTTGCCAGATGTGTTAATTAACAAAGGTTCCTCACTGTGGTGAGCTAAAACCCCACATAATCTACACGGCATCATGTTTCCTGCTAAACTTATTGCGTTTGTATACAAACGCAATTTCTAGAAGATTGAGTTTTATAACTTCTACCTTCATAAATCTTACAATGTTAAGTTTTTGTTGAAACTGCATTAGAGTGGTGTTGATTCAACTTGATGGTTATTTTATATTACCATTTATATGTTGTTTGTGGTGCTTTTGGAATTAAACAGCGCTATGAATGTTTTTATATTTAGTTTACCCTCATTCATAAAAATTAACGAAAAAACATTGGAAAACCGTTTTAGCAAAAATATACTATTTAGTATTTATTATTATTTAGTAATAGTAATAATATTATTGCAGTGCTGTTGTATTAACTACCTTAGTTTTTGTAAGCATCTCATGCTATTGTACAGTATGTGGTACTTTGTTATCCTTTGGCTTTAACCAAATGTACACTTTTCATACACAGGGAAAGCTAAGTTGACACCACATCACTTTTTTATTGCTCAGGGCTCCAGATGTTTTTCTTTTGCATATCAATCATAACCCTAATTAAACAATCATGATTATCAGATATTGATTCCAATTATCCAGCCTTCATGCATTTACAACCTGAAGACCACAGAGAGTTTATGCCTGTGGTTGGAAGATATTTCTTTCAGCACTGACAGCAAAGTGAGAGGGAGATGACTGTTTTTGCAGCTGACTGTTATGATGGAGTACAGAGAAAGAGAATATGTGAAGGTGTATCAGAAACAGAAGAGGGAACAAGGTAGATGAAGAGCGAAGATGCGTCCCAGGGGAGTGTCATCCTCGCCGGTAATTACTAACCGGCACCACACATCCCCTGAGATCCATCACAGGGAGACAAACAGAGGAGACGGCAGGTTAAACCCGGTAACACGGCGCTCAGCTCTCCACGAGCAAATGAGAAACTGTGCAGTGCAACTCATCACTGTCCCCAGAGCTCTGCAGCACAGCTCCGGCAGTGTTTCCAATCGAACACTCCCAATAAGCAGCAAACAAAAGAAAAGATGAACAGCAAACTGCAGCAACTAGGCAATGTGTCTTAATTCAGTAACATTTCATAATGTGCAAGAATAGACAAAAAGAAAAACAATCAGACTGCTGACTATTAAGCTGTAGATTGATATTCTGGTGTGCCGAGGACATTTTATGAATTCCCAGCTGGGCCATCAGACCTGTGAGAGGCAACTAGCTCTGGCTTACTGCATAACTCCTCCAGTCTGAAGGTTGAGGCCATTCATTATCCTACTGCACAACCTAAGACTACTAACTGGGCTCATTTACACAAGTCTGGTCACTGACAGGATTTCACAGGAAATGACTGCAGTAGTAAAAAGAGTGTGCTTCTCCACAGACAATGAATCACAAGCTAAACGTGAAGCCTGTGTTTACCATCTGAAGCAGCAGTGATCTCTTCATTGTCTGATTTACACTAGATCTACAGCACGAGAGATTTGTAATCATTGGAAGGCAAAGAGCTTAATTAAAGCCCATGAATGTGAGACTGGTAAGCATACATTAACTGAATGCATGCTCACACACCACTCCTTCATTTACATGCACGTGCGCACACGCAGCTGATCAGGCTGTGAGAGGAGGAGGGTCTGTGCTGTCAGCTGCCCTGGTTCATGTAAAACAAGGCAATAAAATGAAGATGGAAATGTTAACGTTTTGAAAGACACGTCTCAATGACAGAGATACAGTATGTCAGGTGCATCTCCCTAACATAGTGCATAGTGTGTGTGTGTGTAGCATGGTGTGTGTGTGTAGCAGTTTTAAAGTAGTCGCTCATGAACTTACACCGGCAGAGAAACATAATACGAACACATCCTTGGATGTATTCATCCCAACACGAGGATGATATTAACATTGAGACGATACAAATCTGTCAACCGTCAGAGATTTTAACCAAACTGTTTACCTTAATAGCTCTCCCTGTAATATCTCTGGCTGGTTTGTATTAGATCAACATGGGAAATGTTACGCATCTGTGAGCAGGATCGCTTTAAAGCAAGACTGAATTTGGATTTTGGATTTTAAAATGAATGTGGTGAAATATTCATAATTCACTGGCCACTACATCCAATACAGACACACCCTGTTTGCATATTTTATCTATAGACCTATTTTTGGAAGATTTTATGCATTTCATAACTATATCGCGATATATAATGATTACATTTGTATTTTATCTACATTGCCCACTCCTACGAAGCACTGCAACAGCAAAAGTTTTGCTTTCAGTTGAAAAGAACAAACTGTTGGTTTACGGTCCCCGTCTCTTCTTGAACACCCTGATAATGTGAGTCAGAAACACAGACGTACCTCACTACAATGCGTTTATCAAAGTGATGTGGAATCTCACATGTTAGTGCAGCTCCAAGAGCGGTTTTACACGTCCACAAGTCACACAATAATTCTGTTCATCACAGCGACCCGAGAACAGAGAGAGATTTTCAAGAGAACATTTCATTGCCAGGCTTCAGATGCCACTGATCGTCACTGACTCAAACTTCAGCTTCATAAAAACAAAATCCATGCACAAGAACTGCTGCTTCCATTGAAAACTACAAAACTACAAAATATGGCACAAGGGCAAAAGTGTACACAACTTCTGTGATCAATAGAAGAAGAGGCAGACTTTCTCTGTGGGTGTATTAGTCATTCTACAAGGGTAGAGTAGATACAGTATATGCCCATAGGACCTTCACAACTGCATGGTCACTTCAATCTTATGAGACAATAGTCACAAAATGTTTGAGAGGCTCGAAAGATTGCAATCAGGTTTGTTAGCATTAAGAATGAACCCTTACATGAAGTTACTGTCTCTTTCTTGTTCTGCTTTCCTCTTCTATTCTTCACAAATCCCAATTCCTGCCTAAAACTGGAGCACTGCCTTCCTGACAGTGACAATGACATGGCTGTCAACCAGATATGATTGTTTGGCATGTGTGAGCCTCCCAGAGTGGGAGCATCTCATTATTCAGGCCGTTTTATTTGTTACTTTTTTTAAGCAGCGGCCCAGTTGGAACCGGCGCTAACTGAGCTAAAGTCGTTTCTACTGGCCCTGAGCCAACGCTTAACAATTGTTATATTTAACTTTATTTACATTTAACTGTGTTCTACCAAGAACTGGTCTTTATTTCGGTTGATTTTGTTGCTCTGATTTACACCCACACAGTTGTTTTGTGTCGATCTGTTAGTTCTACTAACAGCTAAATGAACTAGTTGTTTATGGACATGGATACAATGAACAAGTCGATCTAGAATTATTTTTTTTTTTAATACAGTAAAAGTTTAGTCACAGGTCAACAGTTTTTAAACTTCCATTGTTTTAAAACAGGGTCATCTCAACTTTTTTTATGTAGAAACCAATTCGACAAGAAGAAAGTTGCCAAGAACTCCTCATCATGTCTTATATTACTAGTTACAAGTATTCACATATCATAACACAACACTCATAACACAACTCATGCACATTTATTTTCTATATCCATGTTTCAGATTTAAACATGGCAAACTCACACAATGGAGGCAATGGCAGTATAAACCCAACTATTATACTCAAGTTCAAAGCACTTTCATATTTGAATATTACCGCTGATACACACGCATACAGGATGTCCTATGAAGGCCTTTGATCCATCACACTATGTTGTGACGCTATAAGAGACCAGCTAGTACTACGGTGTAATGTCCTTGAAGGATTTCAGACTATTGGATCGATGTTCAGAGTTGTGATGTTGGTTCCGACTTATTTTCTTTGTGTAAATGAATCACATCCCAACATTCGTATGGCAGAGAGTGTGCAGAAGCCTCCTATGAGAAGTCTTAAAACAATATGGCGTATACCACCGATGCCAAACTAATTCCAGTGAACAAACTAGGGAGACAGAGCGCTCAGGGCTTAAGAGCACAGCTGTTCAACTCAACATTGTCCAACTCCGCCATGGGCAAGAAAACTGATGAAGTGAGAGAGCTGGAAAGATGTGAGATAACCCATTTTTCATTGTTCCTCCAAAAGCGCGCACGCACGCACGCACGCACGCACGCACGCACGCACGCACGCGCACACACACACACACACACACACACACACACACACACACACACACACAGAAGTAGACTGTATAGGATTCTATTAACCTGCCATGAGCAGTAAAATAATATAGATTTGTTCTGTGTAAAAATCCTTCACCACTGTCACATTTGCACTTTAGGACCCTGGGAAACACAGCAGGTCACATTTTACACTTTCGGATGGTGCAATGAACTATACGCACAATATATGCGAACACAGATGCACATTGCCAACACAATGCGTAGGCCTGGCAGGCTCAGACTCATCCATATGCAAATGTGAGGTGGAGCAAGCGCAAAGAGGAGAGAGGAAATGAGTCTGAGCGAGAGCAGCACAGGAGAACGAGGCGAAAGGGAGACGGGGACTGCATGCAGCGAGGAGTGCAGGCGAGAGGACACGCTGCTCTCTTTACAGCATGAGGCGCTGCATTGTTGAGGGAGGCTGCAGTGATGCGAGCATCCATGGCGACAGATGACAGATGCCAGGGAGAGAGGAAGACGGATGGAGGAACGACAGCTACCTCTCAGACACACGATGAGGAGGAGATAGCCGGATGAGGAATGTTTTGTCATGAGACAGATGGAGAGGAGTGTGACAGCTCCTTGCTAATGTTTAGCCATAGCTGTACTGACCCTGGTTGACTTTACTCAGGCAGCCCGAGGTGCAGAGGGAGCGGACCGCCCCCGCCTCCCAGCAGCCCCGGCCCTTCATCCCACTCTCTGCAGGCCTGATCCCACTCCACGCTCCCTGAGACGCAACGTTGCCCTTGGCCTCTACATAATCCCAGCGAGAAGGGGACAGAGGCAGCGACTTTCCCTGTTCAGCATTGCAGCGTGCACGCACATACATGCATACTCACACACGTACATACAGTACACAGACAGGGGAGCGATGCCGGGCGCTCCCTCCTGTAATTCCTATCTCCTCTCGTGCATTGCTTCCCTTGCTTCCGGAAACTCTCGCGCACACGGGATACACACATTCACAGAGCTCGGCACATTTACAATTCTCCTCCACATGCTTCTCTCAGTGCAGTGCAGTTTGGTGAGGAAGGGAGAGAGAGGGAGGGAGGGAGGGAGGGAGGAAGAGAGAGAGTGAGTGAAGCAGAGAGGAGACAGAACTCTGCAGCCAGCACTCATCAACACAACTAGGACCAGAATGCATTGCTGCTTTTTGTAGCCAGACAGAAAAAGCTAACTATTTCAGGAAAGCGAAATGGCAGAGATGGTATTAAGTAAATGTTATTTCACTTTAACACGACACCACCAGGAGATTATGTATGATGAAACGCGGGGGATGAAAAGATTTCAGATTAAGTTTCAACATATAGACTCTAGAACAAGTGCAAAAGGTCAAATAAAACATACGTCATTGATTGACATGTCCTTCCTCTGATATATCAGAATCTGTTTACAGTGCTGATCACCAGCCGCTGATGGACCACTTTGAATCTGACCTCCTGCAGACGGGTCAGTGTGACTCAACCAATACAGCATCATTCATACTGTCGTTCCCCTGAGCTGCAGTAACAACCCTCACTGCCTCCCTTTTCAAAGCAGGTGAAGGTTACCTTTCCAATATTACCGTCAGTGTACATATCACCACCAGACTGTAACTCAGTGTCACCCTCTCCTCAAGTTTACTGTGGGCTTCTGTGAGCTCTAAGTAGGGCAGTGCCGATAGTTCATAAATATGCTGCTCATTCACTTTCAGCTGAATCACATCATGACGTACAGCACGACCGTGTCCTATCCGATCAGATTTGTTCCGTTTGTCAAATTCTAGATTTAGAGCAAGCTATCATAAAAGACAAATCAAAATTTGTTATTGAACTTTTTGTTTTACACATAAAGTATGAAGAGTTTGATCTCATGTAATGTGTAACAATGGAAGACAGTTCAATGCTTTGATCACTTTGGTTATAATGTGATCGTGAAAATATTTTTAATATAATTGTGATAATTATTTATCACCCAGACGAAGGGCTGGACGACAAACCAAATGTATCACATTAGCAGTATTGTGAATCCCCTGCAAATCTAAATATACCACCATTTCAGTATTTAGTGCATAAATAATCTGAATCCCATAAACTGAAAATAGCAACGACAGCCAATGAGATCTAATGTCGGTCCAACCAACCATCAGCTCAACGTTTAGAGGTTATACTGTAACTAATCCAGACAAACGTATGAAAAGAAAGCCAGCGCAAGCAAGTACATGTCATACGCTGAGGTTTTAAAAAACGCAGTTATCATCATTGACATAAAAGTTCATTGTTTGTGATTTTGTTTTCAATTCTTCTTATTGTTTTAGTTAATTTCAGACATTATTGTTCAGACCTTGTTCTGGTGATCTCGTGTTTGAATATGTTATGAGTTTCTGACCACAGCTTTAGTTTTAATTACCTCTAGTCATGAAATATTCAGCTCCAAGGGCCTTCATTTTTGTATGCTTATTGCTTACTATATAGATTTTTTTAAATGTTGTTGAGGCAATGGCCTTAACATACTCTTTAGGGTGTTATTAACAATAATCACTGAATGTTAGTTGTACAGGAAACCCTTCACTTTGGATAGAGGTGTGATAGTCAAAGGAAGACAGCTTCTCCCGAGTCACAAATCTATTTAACAGCTTAAAGTTATCAGTAATGCTATTAATACCTCTGGGCCACAGCTGCAGAGCACGGGCTGTCACTGTTTCATGATACAAACACCAAGTCCTTCTTTCATGGGCAACAGCATGAATACAATGCACACAATCAGCTGTGGAAATGTGGCCAACAGTATGCAGAGTCCCTCCCTTGATTGAAAACTGCAACAGTATCACATGAAGCTTGTCTGCTGTGCAATGCGTGTTGGTTCAGCAAAACACCCGATAACAGCAAACACAGGTAACGGGGGGGGGGGGGAGGCTGCTGAGGACTGTAAGTGAGGCGAGAGAAGTGCTGACGGGGAAAGATTGTTGGACGGTAAATAAATAACATCCCCTAAATGTCCCGGGGCATGTTCAAGGGGGGCGTCGAAGCATGAAACAAATAATTTCCCACTTGACCTTCATCATTTCTTTTCTTCAATACTGTTGAGCTTAGCCATGCAAAGAGAGCCAACACTGACTGGTGCATACAGACGCCTCTGTGTGGGGGTATCCGGGCTTTTTGGGTGTATTTTTAAGTTGTAGTCAAATACTCTGTTCTTTCTGTCATCTGGTTTTCAGTCATTATTGTTAATGTTAAACACTTTGAGCTGCATTTTGTGTATAAAAATGATGATGTGTGGGTAAATAAAGTCACTGTTGAAGTTGTCTGAATCCCATGTGGTGCTTAATAGAACTGTAATACTGCTGTATTTGATTTCACATTGTAAACTACTAAATGTGTTGATTATCAAGTAGCACAGAGATGATTATACAGTATCTATAGTTAGACTGTTCTTTCAGGTACCAACACATATTTACATACAATAAATGGGTTTTTAAATTGCATCTAAATTATATTTACGACATTTCCCTTTTAGAACATTACAACAAATACAGCACCTTTATTTCTAAACATAGGTGACTCCAATCTATATAATATTATCTCCATGAGAGGGATCACGTTTTAAGAAATGCACTGGAATCTGGAGTGAAACCTAAGTTGCTCCAAAATATGAAATGATATTCTTTTGAAATCCCAAAGTTCATCAGAAATTCAGCCCCACATTTCCCTGTTTGTTTACTGGATGAGAGACGAAGGCCGACCCATCTGAGGGACAAACTAAAGTGTAAGGGGCGTTTAAAGAGCACGAGTTACAGTTTCATTAAGCAAATTAGTGCAGGAAAATCCAGGAACCCAAACACTCCGCACGGCCTGAATGCACAAGCACCGAGCTCATTAAAACCAGTTCAAACATCTCAGGAAAAAATGTTTCATTGTGAGAAGAAAGTCATTATAACATTCTGAGTTTCAGACCTTTTAAAAACATTTTGCTGTGTCAATTCCAGCAGCAGCAGCGGCCATTGATCCATGCCACAAGACCACATTATGCCAACACTGTGACCACCTAATGGACTGACGCTCCTCTTGGTACGATAACAACCCGCCTATCCAAAGGAGGTGGAAGACCTTTAATTAACCACTAATGTAAGAGTCAAGAGGAATTGTTTCCTGCGTCAGCCTGCACTGGCTCACAGTAGAGAACCCATGCATCCACTTGATGGTTTAGTTCTCACAAACAGACGCAACATTCATGTCGATGCCCGACGCTGCAGAGTGAAATTACAGTTGACTCTCGGTATGCTGGGGCAATGAATCATCCGGCCCTGATTGCTCTTAGTCATCAAAAAAAACTGGAGTCCAGGTAGCATCTTTGTGCGACGGATAAAAGTACCTTTCTGTGTCCTGACTAAAGATGCTACTTAAGTATTAATTATTAGCAATAACCTCTAACAAATGCTCCCATGGTCACTGACCAGAGCTGCAGAGATGAGCAGTGTTTTGAACATTTGCTCATTAAAGTATAGTTTCAGTTCAGTGGTATTTGTGGGATGTCTCGCATGCACAGTTTAATTGGCTTGAGTTCAGGACTCTGACTTTCCAAAGACTGTGGAGGAAATTATTTTTTACTTATTACTTATTTTTGTGCTAGTGTGTCATTATCATAATGCGAGACCTGACCAGATTCAGATCCTAAACAGATGTCTTTACATTTTGTTGTATGAGGTCAGATTAATGTAACATATCAAAACAATAAAACTGGTTGAAGTTAGTTTCGAAAGAGTATGGTTTTAAAACTGAATACTGAGGTTCAAACGTGAAAATAGGATTTGAATGTCCTGAACTTCATTTGCAGTGTAATGTTTTCAATGTTACATATATGTCTTCAAAGATTTAAGACGTGCTTTGCAGTTCAACAAGCCTTACAGTCGTTTTACCTTCTTATCTCCGCCAAGCATAACCCTGAGAAGAGGTTATGTGTTCGATCGTGTTTGTGACTGTGTGAGTCCGTGACTCAGTGTGCACATCTGTGTTTCGTGAAGGCGGCCAACTTCGCCTTCTGCTGCAGCAAACTGCATAATATTTTGGGAGCTATGGCTGCATAGGATCTCTCGTAGTTGCGATGACTCCCACTTTCTCAAAACACCTTTTATTACCGGTTTTATACTTCCATTGACTGCTTCTACTGAGTGCACCTTTGTAGTTGCAGAAATGGTTTCAATGATGAACTGCAGGTCCAGTTCCTTTCACAGAAAGTGTTATACCAAAGGTTCACATGCTGCCTCGACTGTAGATGTCTTGAATAGAAACCTGTTAAAGTACTGTCGTTTATTACCTTCGCCAAGGACGTCATGTCATTTTGGTTTGTCAGCAGGATTACAGAAAAACGACTGGCCTGATTATGATGAAACTTAATGAAAGGGTGAAGCATGGGCTAAGGAAGAACCCGTTATATTTCGGAGCAGATCTGAATTGCGGGTCGGATACAAACTATATTTTTCACTTATGGAAACAACCTTGGTGGAGGTCTGCGCTCTCCAAGTGCCCTTCTACTTTTTTCTGTGTTTCGTGTTTTTAGCCATATGAAATGGCATTTCCATCACAATTGTGTCTACTCAGACTTGGTTCAGTATTATCACGACATAATGCACCAAGTATTATTCTGTGAACTGAATGAACGGACTGATCCCTCTTTACAAACCTGCTTCATATCAGCTGTCCTCACCAATGAGTGTGACTTCTTCTCCATCGTTCTTACAATCTTCATCATCAAGTCAAACACGTCACCGGCTCCACTGGTATGAACTAACCAATCCATAGATGCTCACAAATAACTATGTTTATTGCTTTGAGTTTGGCTGAAAGGGAAACTTCATTAAAAGAAAAAAAAGCTTTCATCACTCACTGCCTGTAGCATAAAATGCCAGACAGATAATTCAAACTAATATTACTCACAGAGAATGGAGCTTCCAACAGTGGTGGCCTTTCAACAGCAACAAAACAGTATCCAGCCCACTGTGGCAGATTGCAGTGCTGTGGGAAAAACACTCTCCGCTCTCTTAGTTGGCATAAGGAGCTTCACCTGACCAGCAAAATCCACCCAGAGGATGAAAAAGGAGGAAACTGAACCTCTATTTTCATAGCTGACCGCCTTGCACACCATTTACCTAATTTAAGATTTAATGACCTGCCTGCATCTGGGTTCTCAATTTCTCAACATACTGCTGATAAAGCAGAAAGGCAACAGAGCGAGTGACAGGGAGAAAATGGGTGTCGACTGTCTGGACCACAATGTGAGCTTATTAATGAATTCAAGTTTCATGCAGCATGCAGCCACTGAAGAGAAGAGCAATCCCAGTACAACAAAGGACGGCACAATAATCCCAGTAAAGCAGCGTGGATCCTGTAACAATGCAGGGCTTCAATAGCGCTGTACACTGACTATATGGAGTCATGATTAGTATCATTCATATATCCAATAAATTGAGTAAACAATAGTCTAATACCAAGACAGCCATGTCAGAGACAAGATGCAAAACCAATACAAGCACATTATTCAAAGCATATTATCTAGCTTAGACTCTCTCACACACACACACACACACACACACTCACATATATAGTATTAATAACAAGCAGCAAGGAAACAGATTCTATATCTTCTATATTCAAGGATTAGTCCGATCAGCTCTGATAAAAAAAAAATGTAAAAAAGTAAACAACTACCACCCACCATTTCATCTAATCAGTGTTCTGACGCTTTCTTGTCATACTGTCAAGAAGCAGCGGTAGTGTGTGTGTGAACCATTACATTACAGTCGAGTATAAACAGGTAAACAGTGCCTTTTTTCTCTAACCTCACAATAGATGAGAACAACACCTGTAACCATAAAGAGTGTATTTTTAAAGATGGCAACAACTTTATCCTCAGAAAGCTTAAAAAACTGAAATAAATAAAAAAATAACTAAAATTTCACCACTAAAATGCTTTAACAAAATGTGTGTTGACTAAAACGAGAGTAAAACTGTAAAACAATCAAACGAAGCGAAAAAGAATACCTAAAACTAAATAAAAACCAATATGTCCAACTGTAAAATGGTTGTTTGCTCTTTCAGAGAGAGGCTGTGGTCACAACATCCATCACAACTCCTTCAAACCACGTCTGCAATGTAATGGCACGGAGATATTTCAAGTAAAAAGAAAGCCGTTTTTAGTGCCATTGCATGATAAAAAGAGATTGAAGTGCCATCCTTATTCTGTCCAGACATCACTCACCTATTGGTGGGACATTTCAGAGTCCATTCAACATATAGAGTGGTTTCAAAATACAGTAAGACAAAAGAGAGAGGAGGAAAAAATGTAAAATGCCGGCAGCATTAAGTCATAAAACAGGCGGCAAGCCCAGTAGAAACAGGACAAAGACAACAACATAGACACAATGGAGTTTCAAAGAGCAAGTCAGATCAGCGGCTTAGGAAGCGGGTGGCGTGTAACTCCAAGATCGATGGTGGGTGAGTGCAGTTTATGGAGGAAGTGTGAGTTCAGAGAGGTCAGATCCATCATGAGACAGCCAGGGTTTGATTTCACAGGGACACTTGGCTGTTACGTTCAGATTTAAGAGACAGAAAAGGAAGACAGAAGTTGAATATGGCTGGAAAAAGAGAGATAGAAAAGCACCCAGAGGATCGTTTCTGGCCGTTTGTTTTGTTACAAGACTAAACTCTGATCTATTCGTGTCCGTCTCCCTCATCATTGGGGACTGAGCTGATCTAGCAAAGCAGCCTCTGCCGCCACACGCTTTTACATCCAACACAAACGAGGACGAGTGATTCGTTACACAGCCGATCTGCAGCAGAACTAACTGATGAGAAGCATGCCATCTGTCATTTCAAAGTAGTGCAGGTGGTAGAATACAGTACTTTAAAACAGGCTTGTTTTGCTCTATTTAGATTAATACAGTAGGTGTGAATCTCAGCTTAATTGTATAGATCTGTCATCATAATACATTTGTTACTTTGTTAGTGAATCATTATCTATTACGTGTAGAGTGGTACTATAACACCAACACAGCCTTAACTCGGTCCTACGAGTCTCCTGCCCTGCGCAGAGCGATTCATCCATTTTACAACAGAAAAATGTTGTATACATGAGAGCAAAACAATAAATCAAATACATTATTCAACAGTGTTTTCATTCTCTGCTAATGGAGAAACATTTGTACATGTTAGTTGTTTACTTTCTTCAATAATTATGTTTGTTTTTTATTATTTCAAACCAGTTTATCGCCTGAATGAGCTCTGGGACAGAAGTCTACTGTATATGCTCTTTGTTCAACATTGAAAAATCACTGATCTCCTTGATTCATCCACTACAATTCAGCCAATATATGGTAATATAAGCTACAACGTGTAAACACAGCTGCATCTAATCATTTAAACCAGATACACATGTCTGCACACAAACACGCACCCACATTCCTGAGCATAGCGTCAACAGAAGGAAAGCCGGATACTCACAAGAGGAAAACTGCGCCTTATCCCGTCTCTTTTCTTCCCTCCAGACTTTGCAGGACAAAGGCGATGTTTTAAGCAAAGAAAAGAGTGAAAAGGGAAGAGTTGGAGAAAGCAGCAGGTCATTCCATTCAGAACTAAAACCCCCCGCTGGATGAAAAGGAGAGTAGACGGCTTACTGAGAGAGAAAGAGGGAGAGGGGGCGGGAAAACCAGACTGAGAGGGTGGCTGAAAGAAAGAGGAAGAGCTAGTGCTGGAGCAAATGTAGGGGGAGAAAAGCAGGGAGACAGTCAGGACCAGGAGGGATGTGGGGGGGGGGGGGGGGAAGAAACGACAAAGGAAGCTTGTTTGAGGAGGCTGACCTAATCTTGATATTCTGTTTCAGGACCATGGACAGAGCTCTACCTTTTACTGCAGAGGGAAACGCTGGGATGTGAAATAAAACAAGAAAAGAGAAAGATAGAGGAGAGGTATCAGAGAAAGATAGCACAGGCAAAGGGATAAATGGAAATATCTGAATTAACTGAACCCCGACAAGTAAATCACGTGACTACTGGTTAACTCACACAAAACCAGAGTCAAGTGAAATGTCACCCAAGGACTCAATGCTGATGCAGATCAATGCACTCAAGATACACATCAGCTTGCATGCTGGGTACATCAGGGTGAGGTGCAGGGAGAGAGCACTTTGGATCTGTGGCTGCTGGTGTTACTGCCTACCTCAACTGTATCTGTGTGAACTCAGCTACATCCAGACAAACCACTAACTGGATAACTGGTTCCACCATCTTCCACTGAACCTTCCCAGTTTCCACAAAAAAAAATCACCATCAAAAGCATATTTTCACTGGTGTTAAATTCATATAGGAGCGAATGTCAGGCTTGCAAATTCAAGCCAGCACTGGAACCAGTGATTCAACGGGCTGTGAGCTCACTTTCACAAACAAGTGGCAGGAACAAGGCAGGAAAACACATGAGAGAGGTCCTGTTTGACGTGAAGGCAAACACTGCCACCTGCTGAACGCTTGCCCCAAACTGCAGGCACTAGCTTCAGCAAGCCGTTACAAATCCAATCTAAAGCTAAAGTAGAACAAGATGCACTCAAGGAAGGACGGGCAATTTACAGGAGAGGGCTTCTAAATAGAGACACCAGCACTAATGAAAAATTCAAGTAATTGATTCAGGGTTCAGGTCAGTCGTACACAGACAAAGAGTGACTTGAGATTGGAGTTGAAACAGGATTCTTACTGTGTTTTTGGATTTGAGATTTTACATGAAAACCAGAGATGGCTAATAAACAACAAGCTACATCAAGGTTGTCAAGTTATAACTTTGGTCGCCATCTACACAGATGATGGGCTCTGGGTTTACACTCTGCTGAGGAGATCGATAGGAGCTCTTTACTCCACTGACAGAGAGGGGAGGGCAAGTTAATGAATGTCACTGATCCATGTTGTCTTACACCGTGTACAGAAAGAGATGCTGTGAACGAACAAGTATTCAAGAGGTTCCTAATGACAGTGTTAACATATATACAAGGTGCCTTAAAGGCAACAGTGTACCTGGTGTGACGAATGGCATCAGACCGACTCTACAGCATCTCAGACACACAGAAGCAGGTGTCTTTGTGTGTTTCCATGCATTTGAATCTCAACAGTTTGCTAAGAATGGTGGGAAGAAAAGCATCAGTTTGCAGTTGCTGTCCTATCATATTTGTTCTGAGAACAGGTTGCCTGATATCAAAACTGTCTCAGGAAAAGCTGCTGTTCACGTCAATACATTTCAAACAGATACAGTACGTTTTTATTTTTAAAAAAGGCATTTGTAGCTACTAGATCCTGAAACTGGATCCTTGAATGGGCCCAAAAGGGAACACTGGTGGGAAATTAAAAATGAAAAGTGTGCATGTCTTTCTGTATATTCTGTGCCTGATGAAATGCTCTTTTTGTAAAGTGCAAGGTTTGTTCAACACAGAAATGAATTTAAAAGGGGACAATATATATATAAAAAAAAAAGGAAAATCATTTTGTGGCGGGTGTACTGTAGCATCATCATACTGTAGTTGAAGTTGACAACAGACAATGCTGCAGAACATATGCGCGCACACACACACACACAAAATATGTAAGTAATTCAATGTGTTGAAGGAGTCCAGTCTAGTAGTGCAAGCTACGTGTTTTTACCGAGGAGTGGTTGACGCGCTGGCTGTAAGCCTACGTTACCACACGTCACCCATTGATGTGTGCTGAGTTAAGTACAACATTTACAGACATGTTCTTCTTTGTAGAATGAGAGTCTGTTCATTTTGCTTTGCGTTTTTCGCAAAAACCAAGTCTGTTTGCTTCCACCGACAATCAAACGCACCATTTGCAGAACGACAACAAAAGCTGTTACCACGACAGCGGTCGAAACCCGTTGCCCTTCCAGGGTCAGAAACACCCGACAACAGTGATTTCAGTACCTACATACTGTACCTGAGCCCAGGTTATTAGTACAGCGCCACCCAATGTTTACACAAAGAACAACAGTTACATTTCTGGATATTTCCAACACCATATCTGTCTCTCACAGCCTGCCCTGTTCAAAATAAAAATAAACCAACATTACTGTGTTGCTTCCACAGGCTCCCACAGTCTATATTTAGTGATCTGGCTTTCAAATTGAGGCCAGAGGAAAATATAGCCTGTCTCAGTCTCTGTAGACCCAGTCTGCAAAAGACTGGGGCGGAGAGAGAGTCTTTGGGATGATGCTAGGGTTAAAAAAGTGAAGAAAAAACAGTCCTCCAAGGCTTTTCCCACAGCCTTTGACCTGCAACACCCAATACAACCATAGAAGAACAAGTCCCCTTGGAAAGGAGAGTGATCTGCTGTCAGGCTGAATGGAAGCCCAGTTTCCACAGTACCATTAGCATACTACTCCAGTGTGTTTTCCAACTCGACTGAGCAGACAGCGCTGCCCTCTCCTGGCTCCTACTGGAATCTGAATTACATTAAAGAAGGAGGGCGGTGAGATGAAACACCTGCTGAATAGCAAATATATCCAAATATCTTCACTGGCCTGAGGACCTTGCTCAACATGCTGGACTAGTGCTGAACACACCTTTCACCTTGGATCTTGGATCTAACTTGTATGTTTACCCAAGACTGTATCAGCCCAGCCTTTATTTATCAAGGTTAAATTCAGAACATGAATGTCTGGCCTCATGGGTGTGTTACACTTTAACAGCTTGCAGTTAGATTGTAAAAAGCATTCCACGCAGATTATATTTTCCATTTTAGTAGCCGCTCTTTCCGGTTGCCCTTACCAGACTGATCGTTCATCATGCGGATGGCTTTAGCTTTAGCCAACTCCAGAGCCGTGACCCATCTCTGCCGCTCCACCTCTGTGCTGGCCTTCAGGTGGTAAGTGCGGCCTCCGCTGCTCAGGACAATATTGCAGGCGTCCTCCGTGTCGATGTGTGCCGTGGCCAAGTTGATTGTTCCACGGCACGTATGGGCCATCTCTGCCTGTGTCCTGCAACAAAATAACAGGCGAGAGAAAACAAGAAAGAGCTGAAGGACTTTTCTGTCAGTCAGAGTATTGCAGGTGAGGTAGTACAATCGGCATTCCTACGGCAAATACGCACAAGCAGGGAGGCTAGGAGGGACACAGAAATGCCACAGATTATATAAGGATTCACTTTGAAAGCCAAGCAGCAGTGGAAGCACTTGGTTATTTAACTTCATGCACCTTCTCTGTAGCGCAATCATCCATGCATGAAACCTAAACCTGTATTAGCTACTGTTAAAAAGAATATTGGATATTTTCTAATTCACTCAGTGTGGCCTGTCTGCCCCGCTGCAATTGTGCCGAGTTGTGGGTATTCTGTGTAGCCTCCACCAACACCAACTGTTGCACAGTCATTGGGCCACAGTAGTGTAGATAACAAGGCCATTGTCTGCCTCCAAGCCTCTGTAGCTCGCAAAACCAAACAACGAATAGCAGCGTGAACAAAGAGAGAACAGAGTGTGAGAACTGTTAGAAAAAAGAGAGAGAGATAGCGGGGAGGAGAGCCAAAGCAGCAGAGCAAGAGATTAGAACAAAGAGCAAGAGTGTTGTACGTCTACTGCGGCAGTCTAAGCCAAATGTATAGGCCGTGTGTTTCCAAAAGCATCTTCCAATAACACAACTGCAGTTGTACATCGTCCAAAACAGAAATATACTGTAGAATGTATTCATTAGCATAATCATGTGGTAGGTATTCTACATCATGTGTCAAGTTTTCATGCATGATTCCTGTTAGGAAAGAGTTACTACAACTATGATTAACTGAAAAAAAGAAGAAGATTCAAGCCAAACATTGCGGATTGTGTGGTGGGAAGCTGTCTGTCTCTCATTCTGTGAAGCTAAGCTGCAGAGCAGGCTGGAACAGAGAGCCCCACAGAGAGCTGAGCGTATGCAGGTCTCCGCTCCAGCCACAGACGGCTGATTCTGCTGATTAACACCCTCAACCAGAGAGCAGCGGCTAATCAGCGAAAACACATGCTGTGGTGTGTGGTTGTTTCAAATTAAACAAAAAAAAAAAAACGTCCTCAACCCCCGGTGTCACATGATTGCCCGTCCACACTCTTAGAAACAGCCACCCTGAAGCATGCAGCCATGCAATCACGTGGATGCAGCAGTCTGTGGGTGCTAACGTCGGTTCATTCATCCTCAGTGAGCTCTCACCGCCACAGGCAGCTGCCTCCCAGCAGCACTAAACCTTAAAGCCAGATCCGGTCTCGGTTGACACTGACAAGGTGGCTGCCGCCTTATTAAGTCAGAAGTTGAAGTGCATTTTAAGTTCTGCCAGGCAGCGACTTCCCTCACACCGCTTCTACTGGCTGAAGTCAGGTCTTGTTATAATGCCAATCCAGAACAAGCACTTCAGTGTACCACTCTTCTGCCGGGGCTCCGTACGCATCGGTTGTGTAGACGATGTCGCACTGGGGCCACGCGAAGCTGTGCGGAGCCCGGTT